GTGCTGTAACATTCATTCTATTACAAAAATTTTAATGCATGTATCACTAGTATAGTCCATCCATTTAGGCATGCAAAGCTTCCAGTCAATGTAATGTGCTGTGATTGATGAAATAAGATTGTTTGTGAACAGTGTCCTGAAATTGTTCATTTGATTCCATTGTATGCATAGCTGTAATTGAACAATCTTATGATGCAACAGCGAGCTTCCGGTGGCAGTAGCCACAGTGGTGCATTACTTGCCATAATGCATGCCTTTCCTGAGCCACAATTAGGCTCCTCGTGGCACAAAAGAATGACATTAACTGATATACAACTTTTCAAGAAACACTGTAAACAAACATTTGAAAGAGTGAACTATAAATACTTAAATAACAATTTAAGCTCTTTATGCATGGTTCCAAGAAAATACCTTTCAAGCAACATTTGCCAATGTCTTTGCGTGATTCTCAAAGTTACAATTCAAAAGAATAAGCATCACCCAGTAATAACTTTAAAACAAACTAACAAGGACAAGAAATAAATCCAGAAAACTAAAGGAAATAGAGGAATGGAAATTCAATTCAAGACAGCAGAGATACACTATAGTGCAAATATTCAATATTTGCATGCTACAGGCAAGATTTAAAGTCGATTCATTAATTGACTAAGTGCATACAAGCAGCTATTTAGTGTATGTGCAATTCTTTAGTGGTCTCATCAAGAGGTACATACAGTGGACTGGAGGTTGGTTCAACCCAGGGAAGTTAATGCAAGGTTTGGGGACTATGGGGCATATAAGGAAAATGGGACCGGAGGCTTCAAGAGTGGTCATTCACATTTTGTTGAATGAGAATGAAGAACTACGGAAATGTATAAATGAAGTGCAATCAGTACTGGAATGCTTCCTTCATAACAAGGAAGGCAAGATCTTTCACTGAGATAATCAACATGGTCAATTGAAATGAGCAGAAAAGAAACATCTCATTGTCTTTTCTTGTCATCAAACAACCGAAGAAAATGAAAAAGATAATGCACTTGTTTGATCCCTATTATTTCCAAAATGCAATTTTATTTCTTTTCTTTTGAGCCACACATTCTTTGATAAAATAATTTTGCAGACAAATCCAAAACTTTTCCTTATTTTTTAATCACACATTCTTCATCAATCTACTATTCCAAAATGCATTCGACTAAAAAAATGGGGCTCAAACCGGCTCAATATGAGCACTAAGGGGACAGACCCTTAAATAGAGCTCTGTGCACAGAGGAAATGGATTGATGTTGCTCAAAAGATGACAAAAAGAATGCACTCCTGATGTATCCTTTAAGAAAGAAAGTAAATTCTCTAATGAACTTCACGTTGCTTGTAACTCAGTATTGTTTCTGAACTTCTCACTCCTTCACATTGTAAATGTATCTCTTTTCATGTTTGGTTATCCAGAATTTTCACCAACTTGAGATGGCAAAGGATTCTTTTTCCACGTCTACCCCTTCCAATCAAAATCCAAGAAGTGGATCACCCACAATTATAAACCCCAGCACTTAAGACAGAAATTAAGACAAGGAATAATACATATGATATGGTAGTGAAAGTAATATGAGGATCTTATAAGTACCTGTCTGCAGATAACCATTTCAGTTAGACTTGCTAGGCTCCACCTCTTTGCAACCCCACTGAGCTTCCAATTGGCTAGATTAGAAAGATCTTCCAAAGTCATTATAGATACATTGTGATCTTGGAAAACTTTATCCGCATCATTCGCAATGCCTATGCCTACCTATGCATGTAACAAGTAGTGTATTGAGTTGTTATACAAACATATTACCCAAAATAGTAAAAAATGTAGAGTTGTTTCAAAAAATTCTTTGGTGCTTGATAAGCAAACCTTTAGAGAAGTGGGGTCCTCGAGTAGAAATCGCAGTTTTTGAGGTATCCCAGAATGAATGATATGCAACACATAGCAATTATTATTGTCTCCACAAATCTGCAAAACCGCAGCCTTCCCAGGTGCAACACCTGCACAGTTTAACAATGATTTTTCACATATAATAGCAACAAAACCTATAATGGTCTCTCTTAGAATACACTTGTAAAGAAGGCAAAATGTACAATGTTTAATGTCACCTAATTGCTGGAAAACAATCAGTGCATGGCATAAACATTTTGAAATGAAAACTAGAGCTTATATATAGAGTATGCATACAATAAAATGGAAAGTAAAACAAAATTAATGAGTAAAATACGAAGTAAAACATTTTGAACTGTAACAAAGAAAATAGAAAAAAATCATCAATTGGTGACTAAAAATAATATAATCTTTTTTGACATGTCATGTATCAGTAACTTGTTTTAAGAATAAAATATATAGCTATATGGAGTGATAGCAGCGGAGGAGTTTTAACACCCTGTCTAGCCTCATATATATTATCTGTGTGCTTTTGGATGGTGAATCCATAACCTCAACATTCGCTTCCTTTAGGTTGTACTTCATATGTCAACGGGGCCAATGATTTATCTAAACTTTATTTGATGAAAGTTTAGGCATAAAACTCTAATTGCAGACATGATCGTCCCAATTGCAATCTTTCCAAAAATAAGAAGTTACTCAAAAGAGAAGGCCAAAAATTTGTCTAGCCTCATATATATTATCTGTGTGCTTTTGGATGGTGAATCCATAACCTCAACATTCGCTTCCTTTAGGTTGTACTTCATATGTCAACGGGGCCAATGATTTATCTAAACTTTATTTGATGAAAGTTTAGGCATAAAACTCTAATTGCAGACATGATCGTCCCAATTGCAATCTTTCCAAAAATAAGAAGTTACTCAAAAGAGAAGGCCAAAAATTCCCATTAACTTTAGAGCAAGAAGCAGGACGAGAATTGTTAGCTGGACAGAACTGCTGCATTTAAACTCCTACCAAATACTGGCTTGATGACACCTAGCTGTTAATTTATGTTTATAATAACTTCTTCAAACACATTATCAACTGTTATTAAATATTTTACAATTTTCATTTACTCATGATTTCTTCGTCCAACTTTTCAGATTCGACTAGATGCCTTCTATGCACAATGTGTTGTGAATTAACATTTCCTGACAATTTTCCAGCGATCTACCTGAGACTTGCATAACAAATAAAGCTCTAGTTTTATTCATTGATAAATTTGAAGCTACCTTTTCTAAAAGTGGGTCTCCACTCAATATCCAGACCAAGGATGCACTTGCCCTCTTTACTTTTCTTAGCTTCTATGAAATGAAGAAGCTCGTCTGCAGCCTTCTCTACCTCTTCAACAGTTCTGCTATATACAATTCGGCCTCCAAATTTCATATCTGTGTACGAAAAAGAACTAAGGCTTCAGAAAGGGATCTGTTAAAAATGCATAGTAGCTTATAGTTGAAAAAGAAAAGCAAAACGAAACTCCTTTGAATAACAGTAAAAATAACTAATTTTCAAAATTAAAGTTTTTCTTATAAAATTCTTTTCTTTTCAAAATTAATGATAACTATTATATTAATTTGATGCAATTATCATTAGTACTTCGATGTTCTATTAAATTTCTCATTTGAAATAAAAGTAATTACTGATAGGCAATGATACTTGTGCGCCCTAAGGTACAGCTTTTGATGCTTAATGTACAACCCCACCAGAGGTTCATCAGCAATAGGTGTACATGCTCTGGTATATCAACTTGAGCCAAAAAGTTGAAAAAGGAAAGAATACCATTTAAACGTTAACTGGAAAAGTATCCGCGCTTCATGAACAGCGCAATAATTGTAATATTTCCTACTTCCATTTAGAATTTCAGCTAGAATATAAAGAAGGATAATTAAAAAAAATTATGATACCATGCGAGAGAAAAATATGTATTTTACCTTGATAGGGAGAGCGAACAGTATTATTACGAAAATTAAACCGATTTCTAGAGCAAGGAGAAAAAGAGAATGATGTGTGTGGTTCTTTCCGGAAAGTGAATAGAGATTCAGGCAATCGGCGGCGGGTCTTGGGAGGCGACACTGTCGAGGCATGGTCGTTGGTGCACTCCAGCACGTGGCGCTTCTTGATTGGCGTAGAGGAAGATGAAGGGGAGGAGATGGTGGTGGCGGATCTGCAAATAGCGTCGATGGCTTCAAGTTCTTCGTCCGTGAAAGGTCGATCCCAATCGGAATCTGAAATGGAGGGCTCCGTTCCCATTTTGGGAGCGTGTTTGAAGAAGCGGAAGGCGGGCTTTTTGTTTGGCCAGTGAACATTCAAACTATTGACGATTTTCATTCTTATAAAAATTTAGACTGCGGTAGGTTCCACGTTTTGGAGCCATTTTTCATTTTTAAAAACGTAGAAAATGCATTTGGTTCATCATTTTTTAAAACGAGTTAAAATTTATAACTGAAAACGTAACACAACTTTTTATTATTTTGAGCATTTTTAATTATAATTTCCCAAAATACGAAAAAGTCCAAAACGCACCGTTTTTTGGGAAAATTAAGCTCTTGTTTGAGCCTCATTCTTTTGAAAAAATGTATTTTTCAACAGTACTTTGACATCATTTCAACCACACATTCTTCAATAAAATAATATTACACGTAAATCCAAAAAATTTCTCTATTTTTAACCACACATTTCCCATCAATACACTATTAAAAAATTCATTCTTCCCCAAAAATGGGGCTCAAATAAGGGCTAAAAATCGTTTTGAGACTGAAAATGGAAAATAAAAAACTAAACCAACCGCATTTTTTCAAAACTCATTTTCAACCACACATTCTTTAAAATAATATTGCATGTAAATTCAAAATCTTTTTTTTTTTACCACAATTCTGCATCAATCTATTATTCAAAATGCGTTATTTCCTCCAAAATGGAGATCAAACAAGGGCTAAGTGTACATAACAATTTACGTAATACTTTATCAACGGATAATGTGATAAGATTTAGTTGGACTAAATTTTCATCAATTTAATAATTTTTTCACTTACATTTTTACATATCATATCATCATTATGTACATGATTAGCCAGTATAAGTGGCTTATAAGTGTAAGGTAGCTTTGAATAAGACAAATATGAATATAAGAGTGAGTTAAGTGATTATAAACAATTTGTAAATATTAATCAAACAAGGGGTAAGAGATGTAAATAGTTGTGCAAAAACTTTATCCATTGCTATGTTCAATTCAACATATTAAATATAAGCCGAAAATTTAATCCATATTTGGATCGCATTCTTTAAAAATTTATTTTTCTCCAAACTTATTTTTAACCATACAATTCTTTTAGTGAGATAATTTTAATTGTAAATCCAAAAATATTTTTTACTTTTTAACCATACATTGGGCAAAAAATTATCACTACAAGATCTATTCTCCTAAAAAAGATGCTCAAACATACCCTTAAATCCGTGGCATCTTTCAGATCTCAACCTTTTAATGTAGACCTAGGGTAAAAAGTTACTTGAGAACACATGATTTCCATATCATGTAAACCTAGTTCCATGACCTCATTCATCAAAAAATAAAATAAAGAATCGTCCATATCTTAACTTTATACTCCCTCTATTTTATTTATAAGCTTATTTTGGTTTTCACACGGATTAAAAAAATATATTTAATGTTATTAAAAGAGCATTTTTTGTCAAAAACTTACATATAATTTACCTTTATTTATATTTTGTACAATTTCAATATTAAGTGGAAAACATTGATCATAACTAAACAAATTAAATAAAAGTGCATTAACATACTAACAAAACATAACATTCTCAATAAAGACACATCACTGTATAATTGGAATAAAAAAAAAAGGAAAGTAATCCGATATAAATGGGATGGAATGAGTGTGAGTTAATTGTTCCAATGGTTACTGAATTTAGATCCATATCTTTGATTGGCCAGTAAACTTAGGTTCATGTCTTCAATTACTTACTGAAATTTAAAACGTTGAGTTTTGGTCACTGAACTTTAAAAAATATTGTACACTACTCACTGAACTTTAAAAAATATTATACATTATTTACTAAATTTTAAAAAATGTTGTACATTATTCACTATAAACTCGATATTTTTCAAAATTCAACAATTATACTAGGGAGCAACGTATGACATATTTTAAAGTTTAGTGACCAAAACTCGACATTTTAAACTTTAATGAGTAATCGAAAACATGGACCTAAGTTTAATGACCAAAACTAAATATTTTTCAAAATTCAGTGGTCAAAACTCAATATTTTAAAGTTCAATGACCAATCAAAGACATGACCTAACCAAAACTCGATATTTTTTAAAGTTCAATGGTCAAAATTCGACATTTTAAAATTCAATAGTCAATCAAAGATATGGACCTAAATTCAGTTACTATTGAAATAATTAACTCAATGAGTACCATTCTTTCTATGAGTAGACAAGCATCAGTCTACCAGTAGTGAAGATGAAATTACTCTAGACCGTGTTGGAAATTGGTTTAAAATTGAGAATTTGGTTAAGGATAAAATTTCAAAAAAGTGACTTTCGTGTCAACTTTTGTCAAATATTCGAACTTGATTCAATAGTTAAATTATAAATGTATATATACTAATTTATTCTATTAGTCGAGTAGATCATCATGACATATTTAGAATCTTTGCAATCAATTTCGAATGAGTGAAAAATTGCGGTCCAAATTTAGAAGAAAAAATAGAGGGAAACTGACTGAAAAAATTGCCTAACTCGATCACTCGCCTATTGCTCAAGTGATGAGCCAACGTTAGGTGGGCGAAAAATTTCTATAAATATTTTGACACTAACACTTGAACAAAAGGTCAGCGACAATAAGTGATGTTTTGTTGGTAAAGTTGCACGGTTTGACACGTATCACTTCATTTACAACCCCTCATCGTCTATAAATAAGATCATTTGGACGTCCATAAATGCAACCAATATCACTTCTGCATTGAGCACTGCATTGAATCTTTTGCAAAATCATCCAAATTATCTTGCTTGTAGAGAGGGAAGTTTTGTCAAAAAGTTCGTTGGAACTTCTGGTTTAAAGTGCTTCTATCACAAGTCGTATCCGTTGTATCTTGGAAGACAAGTGCCATAATTTGTGAGTACCGTTGGGAGGCAATATTGTCTGAAGAAAATAGTGACATTTTACTTGCCTCGGATTTTCTTCTTTTTTTCTCTGTTTCTTTATTTTCCTTGTAGTTAGTATACCGTAAACATTTATATATATTATTGTGTTTAATCACATTGATGTGGATTAAACTCTGTAATTTTTTGTTTGTTCATTTCAAAATAACCCTTTCACCATCAAATTATTTCAAACAATCTTAAGACCGTATTTAGGTTGTTGTGTGTAAATAAACAAACATGTAATCTTTGGAAAATGCATCTATGCACTATTCTCTTCTCTTTGATTTTGCGTTAAATTCCTGTTTGCGTTACAGAAATGAACACCATGGAGACGACTCCAAGTCGAACTACCAATGGTACCACTTCAAAATACTGCAATCTTACATGGGGAAAATCGAAAAAGTTTGGAGGTGTGTATTTCAAGAGATGGCAACAAAAGATATTGTTTTATCTTATTACTTTAAACTTGGCAAAGTCTCTAAAAGAGACTGCACCAACGATACAAAAAGGTAAAAATAATCACGAATCGATTATTGTTTTGGACAGATGGAAGCACTCGGACTTCTTATGCAAAAACTATATCGTAAACGGATTTGACAATACACTGTATGAAGTGTATAGTTCGAAGGATTCGGCTAAGAAACTATGGGATTCATTGAAAAAGAAATATAAAATCGAGGATATCGAAACTAAAAGGTTCATAGTTGACAAGTTCTTGGATTACAAGATGGTAGACTCTAAAACCGTGACAAATCAAGTACAAGAACTTCAAGTTCTCCATGACATACATGTTGAGAAGATGGAGTTGAGCGAATCCTTCAAAGTTGCTGCCATTATTGAGAAATTTCCTCCTACGTGGAGAGATTTAAATTCAACCCTTTCACTATCGAAATATTTTTAAAAGAGCACGACCAGGATTTATATTTCTCCTCTCTAACAGTTGCAACCACCTAGAGCAAAAATTGAAACAATTGTCAATAAATTCCAGTTCCTCCCTTCTCACACATTTTAAAATCTAACTCCCTCAAACTGAATTTCCCCAACTCTAGCTCCAAGTAATGATTAGTGATAGTCATTTTGATTCTAGACTCGAATTCTCACTTTCATTATCAACAAGCGTGGATTTACAAGAGTCAAGGAGTAACAAAACTGTAGAAAGAGAAAATATAATAACAAAGCGACATGCTAAAGCAAGGAAAAACATAGAAGTAACATACACCATGATGGTTGCTGAATTACTCGATATAATAAGAAATTCTGATTTGTTTAGCTTGAATGATGAGTACTTCAAATGGAGCCGTGTAATAACAATGTCATAGGGAATTCTTGAGTAATCAACTAATGTCATTTTCTTAAAAATAATTCCTCAACCAATTATCACAGTTTGTCTCTATTTAGGTAGATAAAATTTTGATAAAAGTTGGTAAAAATGTGAGTTTGAAAATTTGTAGATTCCATAAAACGTGCTTCAAATTTTAAGCTGAACCAAGCAGGGGATTACAGGGACCAACTTGATTTTAATATTTTTCATTTTGCCCCTCCAACTTAGTCTTTTTGTACAAATTCATCCTTTCCTCTTTCTTAAGTGCCTCCCTTTACCAGTCCCCAGTGTTGTCTTCCAGAATTTACAGAAAAACCCATTCTCCTAAACCAACGATTTCCTCAACGAGCAATAACTCACCCGCAACAATGGTGGATGGTAACCCTTCGTAGTCAACCCGCATCCTGCTTCTTTGATTACAGCATTTTACATCAGAAATCAGAAACCAGAGGAGCAGAAGGATATTGAATTCGAAATATAAATCACAAAGATGAGCACGGTGGATAAGATGCTGATAAAGGGTATCCGGAGTTTCGACCCGGAGAACAAGAACGTCATCACGTTTTTTAGACCTTTGACTCTAATCGTCGGCCCAAACGGCGCCGGCAAAACGGTAACTTCACCCACTTCTATTCATATACGTGTTGTATGCTGGTACATACATCGATCATATTGCAGAAAAAAATTGCAGCTTCTAAAATGTAGCGTTGCCAAACTGGGCACTAAGAATTGGAAATTTTTTATTGATCATAAATTTCTGATTCGCCCGAACAAATTTAGCACGATATGTTGCAACTGGCACGAAAAAAAAAAAGTTGTACCCCACACACTTGAACAGGTTGGTTCTCTGGTTAAGCTTCCATTCTGTATGTGATAATGAATGCAAATGTTGGTGTTTAACACCATGTTTGAGAACATTGTATCTAATTTCAGCAGGTTCCCCCCCCCCCC